TGTGAGGTTGAGGAACCCTGCACTGGAGGACAGATCTTGGATAAGTACAAGGAACTGTAAACTAGACACCACCAGAATTCACAAGTCCAGAGCATGGTCCAGCTGAACCTCTAGCCACTGCTTGGGGTTTCTGGCAGGGGGAGGAGGGGGAATGCAGACTAGCAGAAAGTTCCCTCAACTCCCCCCCCCCACATGCCATTTTCTGCAAGACCCATCCTGCCCCCCCTACAAAGTACCGCTTTCTAAAAAGGATACAGATCCTGCATCTGTGATCACCTGAAGCACAACCGTAATAGAAGAACGGGGATGCAGGTTGCCCAAAATCACGGCCTCGCAAGTCTTCTTGATCATCTGTTCTCGGCTTTTTTCGTAGACACCTGCAAGGGGGGGGGCATTAGGTTTAGTCACTTGCTAAAAAGTCACAATGTAGAAAAGAATCAAATGTAAGGCAGTCCTGAGAGAACTAACCGAGATTAATCTAATGGAACTCAATGTTCTGCTTCCAGACCATCCAACCAGAAAGCTCTCTTGCCAAAACTTCAGAGGAAAGAAGGAACTTCAGGACCTACAGGGGCTTCCACAGCAGCTAAAGGCCAATCCCATCTGCACTTGCGTTATTTTTATTTGTGGGGGGGGTGTATATATATTATTGTATCATTTTTTATGTGTAAGCCGCCTAGAGTCACTTGTATAGTGAGATGGGTGGCGTATAAATTTGATAAATAAATAAATATAAATAAATAAATAAATACAAAGACTGCGATATTCTAAGGGAAGAAGGCCCCAAATTGCCCATACCTTCTCAAGCAGCTTCTCCCCTCCTACAGTATTTTTCTATTATCAAGCAGGCCAGTAAGATCTTTCAGAAGACCTCCTCTTGTTCCCCCAGAAAGGAAAGAAATCCGCTGGCTTTTGAATGTTATTATTCCCAGCAAAGCCAGCTCCCCCAGAGACTCTATGAGCATTGAAAAGGGTCGGGGGGGGGGGCAGAGGGGAGGAAGTATTCTTTTCCTCTCTCCACTTGCTAGCAATTTTCTTTTGTGAGCTCCTGGCAGAGGGAACAAGACATCCAGATGGCATTCTTGCAGGGACTCCAGATGGCCTGCTTAGTTATGGAGATAACGGTTCACCTCACCTTTTTATGATGCTCCTTTCAAGTGTGGGAGAAATGGTGAGTATGCACAAGAATTTAAATCAGAGGAAGAGCTGGACACAATGGCTGATGTTCAACCCTAACACACAACTAGGTATGTTAGACCTTCCGTAGACTTGCCTTTGGTGTAAACTTGAATGAGCCTGGAATAGTTATAGCTATTCAAAATAAGCCATCTTTGGAGATTACATGGAAATGATCCAGAAGTGATAAACTAAGCACATTGATTTAATATATCACAAGATTGCCACCCTTGGTGCCAGAAGGTGAGCACTGTTGGAAGGAACTCCTTTAGGCAGCCCCAAAAACTGAGATTATGATATTATTATGGTTGGTCCCACAGTCAGCCAGATGTTTAGACTGGATCTGGCATTTTTATCCGCCTATCGAGTCCTTCCCAAGGACCTGGGATAAGCAGATGTTGTTTGATGGTGTTCAAGGTATTGTCACAGGATATAAGCTGTTCCAAGTAAAGCTGCCTTTTGCAATTGACTGATGGTGATGAATTATTATTGTTGTTGTTGCCAAAACAAGCCAAGAAACATCAATTAAACAAAATCAGGAAGTGCCAGCATCTCTGAAGATATCTAACCACAGTCTTGGATGTAGATGGCAACTTTCTAAACTCCTGCTTCTAACTAAGTATAGAGTGTGGAGATGGTGAGAAATCTAAAAGAAAGCTAGTCTTGTTTTCTAGATAGCTCCAATTCTTCTGGCCTTTTGTAAGGCATTAAAGGCCAGGCTGTTCCCCCAAGTTTTGGGGCCAGGAGGTGAAGTGAGCCCTACTGGCTGATCTGTTTGGCTGAAATGCTACAACTAGAAGGGGAACTTTTTTAGACTTTGCACCCAGGTTTACATTTATTTTCCCTTCGGGCTAACTAACTGTGGTTCTGCCGTACATCTCTTTCTAACTTTCTTATCAAGGATAAAATAAGAAATCACCATGGGCATGCAAATTTCAAAAACTATGCAAATTCATTTCAACGAATACACACGTCACAAGAGAACATCTGCACAGCAGCACCGATGGCAAGTGAACACTGATCACTAAATTACTATGTCTGCCAGAATCTAGCAGGCAAAAAAGAGGAAAAAAGTGGGGTGATCTGCAGCACAGGGCCCCCTCACCTGGCAGGCCCACTTTCGGCCTTAGCAGCACCTCCAGAGTCGCTTTGTCGTAGATTTCCTTGCTGACCTTAACTTCTGTGGGTCCGTACACTCCGGCTAACACGGAAGTGTCCCCTGAAAATAGCCAGAAAAAAGCAAGGCCCTAAGCATGACACTTCAACTGAATTATAGAAACTTCTCTACCCTAAATCCCCCTTTTGGGAGGGAGACCAGCTAGCCTGCAGCACAAATATGTTGAGTTGCTAATAAGGAAAACAAATGCAGCAAAGTAGTTATCCAAAGAGGAGTGGTACAGCCTTAAAAAACAGAATTAAGGACCCTACCAAGAAGAAAGCAATGAAAATAGGAACAACCTCTGATGCCTGGCTACAGATTATGATCAGGCAGCAAGATGAGGAAAGAAGAAGGGGGGAAGAAGATAGATTGTGGAGAGAATCTCAACGCAGGGATGGACTGGAAAGGGAAATGTTGGAGTGAGAGGAAAGGAGGAATTCCAGGAAATGATTCCCTCTTTTGACGGAAGTTCAAACCTCTCCAGTCCTTCCCCCATCTACTTTGCTTAGTGGAAAGGAAGGACCTAAAGATTTGAGGATCTCATTTGAGGATCCCCAAACTTACAGAGGAGGATATACAGTAGAATCTTTCTTTGTCACATTTGAACATGTTGCAGTTGCTTGCAAATGGCCTAAGGAAGAGTGGATAACCGGGCCACTGCAAGGCTTTCTATTTTCTGAATCCAGAAGAGCAAGAACAGCCCAAAATATAGAAAAAGCCACCCTAATTGCACTTCAGATGGAATAAAAACAAAACTTCACATAAAGACATTGCAAGGGGCTATCCTTACTGATTTTTTAAAAACCAGCATTTTTCAAAGTGTGGTCCAAGAACCCCTGGGGGTCCCCCAAGACCCTCTCAGGGTTCCGCGAAATCAAAATTATTTATATGTTGAAAAATAATACAAGATTAAAATCCAACCAAGCAATCTTGAGAAGCGGTAGTGGCAGCAAATGCGTCAATTGTCATTTTTAATTAAGTAAATATCAAAATAACCCATACAAACCAAAGCTCTTCTGGGATCCTCCACAATTTTTAAATTTTCCTTCATAA